GCGGAGTGTCCATCGAAGCCGTCCGACGGAGGATCCTTCGCCGAGGGCTTGATCGATCTCGACGCCCTCGAGGCGGAGCTCAGCGCCGCGCGAGACCACTTCGTCGAGGACGTCGACGGCGAGGGCGACGACGGCGGCGACGGCGGCGACGAGAGCGAGGGCGGCGCCGCCGCGCCGCGCCCGCGCGACGACGTCGCGCGGCTCGACGGCGACGCGGCGAGCCCGCTCCGGTTCCAGAGCCTCGCGGCGCCCGGCACGCTCCGCGGCCTCGAGGAGCCGCTCCTCGGCGACGCCGTCCCCGTGCCCGTCCGCGGGGGCGCGCTGCGGTGGCCCTCGCCGGCCGCCGTGGCGAGCGCGAGCTTCCACGAGACGGGCATCGTCCCGCGTGGACGTCGACCGCCGGGGCCCCGACCGGACTTCGAAGCGCTCGATCTCGGTCGCGTCGGAGCCGGTCGGCCGACGTTCGAACGGGTCGTCCCCTCTCGTCGAGCTCGCGTCGGGACGGTCGAGGACGCGCGCGTCGGCGTCGGGTCGACGGGTCGAGGTCCGCGCAGGCGTCGTCGTCGCGGACGACGCCGGCTTCGACGCCGCCTGGCGCGCGGGCCTCGAGGGGGCGTTCGCGGCCGTGCCGAATTCAAATCTTCGACTCGACTTCAATGTGAGCGTACGCGAATGTTTCGACGCAACTTCTTTGGCTTCGCTTCGAGAACTCGACGAGAGCAATCGATTCGTCCAAAAATCAGCCGAATCGACTTCGACGCGACCGAGCGAGAGAATTCTCGAGTTTGGTCAGGACCCCCCGAACCAGTGGTTGAATTCGGCACAGGTTCGCGGGCGCGGGCGCCGCGGCGCAGGCGCGCGCGTTCGCTGCGACGGGCCTGAGCAACGGCCGTCGCCTCGCCGGGCGGGAAGCGACGCGGTCGCGCGGTCGCGGGAGCGCCCGCCGCGACCCCTCCGCCGAGGACTCGACGGGCGCGCGCGACTCGTCGACGCGCGCGAGCCGAAGCGGCTCGGACGGGGCCGGGGCGGGCGGGTTCGGAGCCTCGCCGGGTTCGGAGCTCGCCGGCCGCGCCGCGCGCAGGCCCCCTGTACCTCCAGGTCGCGCGCCTTCCGCCGGGCCGCCGGTCGCGGGTCCACGCGTGCGCGAGCCTCGAGTTCGCCTACGTGCTCGCCGGCGACGTCGTCGACGCGGCCCGGGCCGGGCCGCGCCTCGACGCCGCGCCGCTCGCGGCGGCGGACCCGCGCGTCGCGCCGCTCGCGGCGACCGACGCCTTCGAGCGCCGCGCCGCGCGCGCGGGCGAGTTCCTCGCGGGCCCCGTCGGCGCCGTCCGCCAGCGCCGCGCGGGGCCCGACGGCGCGTCGCTCCTCCTGCTCTGGAGCGGCGCGCGCGCGCACTACAGCCCGGAGAAGGTCCTCTGCGAGAGCCGGCTCCTCCGGCCGGCCGCGGGCTGGGGCGGCGCCGTGCCCGGCCGCCTCCGGGCGGGGAACCGCGTCCCGGCGCGCCGGCCGCGGCCCGCGCCCCCCCCGCCGCCGGAGCCGCCGCGGTTCACGGCCCTCCCGCCGCCGCGCGGCGCGGCGCGGCCGACGTCCGCGCCCGCGCCGCGCCGCGACCGGTCGCCCGCGCGGACCGTGCTCCTGCCGGCCCGCGTCGACATCGGCGACCTGCCCCCGGCTCGACCGCGCCGGGCCGCGCGGGAGGCCGGCGCCGCCCTCCCCGAGCCCCGCGTGGGGACGGGCTTCATGCCCCCATAGGACTCTGCCCCCGATCCACACGGCCTGGGACCCCGCGGTCGTCGCGAGCACGGCCTGCTCCGCCGCGTCCTCGACCTTGGCGAGGCGGCCGCCGGCGGCGCGACACGCCGCGGCCGCGTCGGGCCAGGACAGGGGCGCCTGGCGGAGGATGAAGTTGTGGGCCCCGGCGACGCCGAGAGTGGCGGCGGCGGCGGCGACGACGCGGGGCCGCGCCATGCCCGGTGCGGAACAAATGGCAGCCCACGATGAACAATGTATCCGGACGTAACTAGTAGTACTAGTAGCTGCACGATTCACCCCCGGCGACCTGTGTTTTGGTGCCGATGTGTAACACATCGGGCCCATAACTCGGGCTGCGTCGCGCGCGCGGACGAGCCCTTTTGCCAGGCCCTGGACACCCTCTCGGGGCGGCCCTCCGCCGCAAGAACGGCGGAAATCGACTCGGGTGGCGCGTCGATGTCGTCGCTCAAAGACGCGATTCGGGGCCGATTTTTGCCCGGGACGACTTTTTGACCCTCTAGGGCTGCCCGCCGCGCGCCGCGGCGGCGCCAAACTCTGCCCGGGGTACCGCGACGGCCTCGGGAAGCTCTCAAGCGGGGCAAACGACGTCGATCGCGCCGAGAACGGCCGGGGGGTACTCGGGATTGCCCGAACCCCCGAAACGCGTCCACTCGAGTTCGCATCGATGACGGCGGTTCCATCGATCCCTGGCGGCTGCGGAGGCCGTCACCATCCACACCAAGACCTGCGAAGCTCTGGCTGCGACTCGGAGTCCCATCCAGGTCCCGCGCCACGTTGGCGTGCTCGGGCCGTTTTCGGCCCCGAGAGGCCATTTTTTCGTCGACGAGAAACCGCTGCGATTGTGCCATTTTTTTGTCTGGACCACCGAGTATGGTCATGGGGAGACGCGCGCGGGCCTTGAAAGCGCGAAAAACGACTCAAAAGTCGTCGCGTAAGGGCCAGTCCAGGGCTTGAAATCCGCCTCGAAAACCCTTAAATACCTCCCGAAACGCGCCAAAATGATGGAGCCCACACTAGCTGCGCTGCGTCAACCTGGGTCTGACCTAGGGTTCCCGCCCGGTGGTCTTGGTTTGCCGCCACACGCCCAGGACGTCGCGTAAGACGGCGCGCCCCATGCCCAAAACGCAGGTCGCCCTCGGCGTTTTGTGTAGAGTCCTGGCACCCTGAGGCGGCGGAGCTAGCAATGGACGCCGTTCTCGCGCGCGTCGACTACGGGCCCGCCGCGTCCCGCGTGCGCCACGACGCGTCCGCCGCCCTGGCCCACCCGCTCCTCGACGCCGTGGCCTCCTTCGGCGACTGCGGCGGGTCGCCGGCCCTCGCCCTCGTCGGCACGGTCGCCATGACCTACCGCGGGCACCGCTACAACCTGCCCGTGGAGATCGTCCTGCCGCCGGGCTACCCGGCGGCGCCGCCGCGCGTCTTCCTGCGGCCGACGCCGGACATGTCCGTGCGCGACCGCCATCGCCACGTCGACGCCGCGGGCGTCGTCTACCTGCCGCTCCTGAGCGCGTGGTCGCCGCGCCGCGCGCTCGGCGAGCTCGTCGCGACGGTGTCCGACGTCTTCGGCGCGGACCCGCCGCTCTTCGCGCGGCCGCCCGGCGCGGCGCCGGCCGCCGCGGCCGCCGCGGCCGCGCGGCCGGCCGCGGCCGCGGCCGCGGACGCCGCGCCGGGCGCCGCGCGGGCCCGCGCGACGCGCGCGGTC